TCATCTCAATAACTTGGGCACTGAAATCTTAATCAACTTGATTGGTTTGATTCGTTCATATCTCAAAGATCATTCCTTTTGGATTAAATTATCATTCAAAATTAATGATATACATATAAGTAACCATTAATATAGGTTAATACTTAGGCATAAACATAACATTAATACAGGTTAATATCTCATATGCACATTCCTATCATCATCTTTGACAATTTAAGGCGTAACGTGGCAACATAAAGCTCACGAGTTAATTGTCTCCCTCTTACCCTAACAAGGTTTTATTGAGAAAAGGATTGGGAATTTTGGGTGCATATTCCTATATAGAATTATAGAAAATTATTTCATTGATTAAATCCTTTGAATTATGGTTACGATGTCTATTATAAAATTTTACGATGAAGTAGAATCTAGGGCCACCATATTTGAAAAAAAATAGAAATGTAAAATACTGAGAAGATGCTTCAATCTTAATTTATGGTGAATTTGATAAAAAAAAATTATAAAGCATAACTAAATTAATTACGGTTTACTTGTTGGGAAACAACGGAAATTAAACATGAAAAATATAGAGATTCTGCTTGAGAGAATATTAATAAAAAAAAAGGAATAGGTAAATGCAGATTAGGCAAGTAGTTATTTAAAAATATAAGCCATAAATTTATATATGCATTTCTGATTTAGATTTTATTATAGGTTAAGTTTTACCGTATATATATATCGACAAACAACATTTTACTAAAGAGACTGATCTAACTATAAACGACCACGATAAACCAATTAAAAAATACATGTCGTGATGATTTTTGTACGAGCACCAAAATGACGTAAATGTATGAAAAAAATATATCAAAAATCATAAGGATCGTGCTACAAGAGACAAAGAAAAACATGTCATAAGAATAGAGATTATTATTCAAAATTAGAAGAAAAAAAAAACCCTCAAGAGAAATAAAAAAAAGAACATAATATGAAAAAAAAAATAAGAGAACTAATAATTACCGATGATTGACAACTAACATTAAAATTAGTGTTGTTGTCAGCTAAATAAAAATCAAAATGAAAGAAAGACTGCACAATAATATCAAGAGAAAATTAGGTTAAAAAAGGCCGCTAACTTTTACCATATATAATTTTATATAGATATATAATAATTATCGACCTATTTGTTTGTATTTTATAATAATTGATTAAAAAAGTTAAACAATAATTTAAATGTCGGTTGTTACGATTAAGATTTTGATTAAGGAGATTAACTATGATAACCAAAATTAGCTGGGGATGGTTTTTCATGGGGACCCCAAAATTGGTGTTAAGAGGAAGTCGTTTGAGCTGGCAATGGCTGGCGGATGGGACGGAGGAGACCCCATTACCCGGCCAGACAGTAGGGGCGAAATAGAAAAAAAGGATTAATTTGTGGACCCTTTTTGTTGTGCCCTCCACCACCGTGGTCCTTGGTTTGAATGAAAACCTCCAAGCTGTTGAACCAAAATTATACTTGCTAAACGTCGACCGTCGTCAATGTTCAAACATCGACACACTCGTGCGCTCCTGCATGCATGAAAGCAACGGTTATATATATATATATATATATATATATGCATTTATGATTCAGAGTTTCTGAAGAGGACAATCACCCATTGAAATGTTGAATATTGGCTGTCGGTGCGCCTATCACATTCTTAATTAGACGTATTTGTATAATAATAATTAAAAAAATTAGCGTGTGACTGTTTTAATTTAAACATAGAGATACAATCGATTATTGAACAGAGGAGGAAGAGAAAACAAACAAGTTGAAAATTCATGAACAGTCAATTTGATATAGAGGGAGTCTTGACTCCTTTTTAATCTTGCATGGTGATTTATATACATATATTTAATGTTTTATTATAATGATAATTATATGTACGTTAATAAAGTAAATAAATATAATTGTCAGACAGTAGATACAATAAGTAGATCACGTAAATTTACCAGTGATCATGTCTAGAGACTATAATTAGTCGAAAGACAAAGAACCCTGAAATCTTTAACTCGATAGAAAAAAATTAAGATGGAGCATGCGAATCATTTCCGAAGAAGATATAATAATAATAATAATAATAATTTCACTTAATTAAATTTTTATTTTCTAGTATTATCCTAATTATCGTGAGCCATAAGTAGAGAGGAAACAAAAATAGAGTAAATGAGAAGGATGTTCCTCTTTTTGGATAGCTTTAGTTTGCATGCCATACTTCATAATTCATTTACTCAAAGCTTATTCATCAAGTCATCCAGGACAAGGAAACATGGCCTTTTAGGGTTTCCTGTTTGTTTAAACCAAACGAATTCAATCATCAATTTCTTGATTTTGCCAAAAGTATGTTTATATCACATAATTACAACTTTTCTTTATTATTACAAGTCTATATATGTTCTTTGTCAATTTTTTTATCGTTACAATCATAATTCTTAATGGTTAGTTAGAACACATAGGACATATATTGTCACGTCGTAATTATTTAGGGACTGAAAACATAAATATTTCCACCCCTTCAACCCATGGGGAGCCATTTTTCTGTTTCCCCTCCTCTATCCAAAAGAAAATTAAGAAAAGGATAAAAATGAAGGGCCATGGCATGGAGATTACTTCAAATCAAAGCGGCTAGCACTCTCAGTACTATAGTTTAACTTTTTAAATTTATAATATTTTTTCGGTAGCATTGCATGTATTTATTATTCGGTTATTTATTATAAAAATGGATAAATTGTGTATTTAGTATCTAAACTATCAATTTTGATTCGTTTTAGTATATAATCTTTTAATTTTTTCAAAACCATATCTAATTATTTGTTTTTATTTCATTTTAATACCCACCGTTAAAAAGTTAACACGTTTAGTACATAAATTATCAGTTTTAGTATATAAACTATTAATTTTTTCAAAACTTAACTTTAAATTTTGAGCATGATACTAAAATAAAATAAAACTAAATTTTATGTATGATTTTAACAAAAATTAAAAAATTATGTACTAAAATAAACCAAAAGTGATAGTTTATATACTAAATGTGTAATTACCCTATAAAATTCAACATACAATGATTCTTTTAAATTAATTTTTTTATTCATTAACGAGTAACCTCAGTAATTAGAGAGGATATTATTTTCTCTAGAAGAAAAATTAGGTTATGGCTTAATCCGATCAGTTGACCCATGGAAGGTCATCATATCACACGCTCGAGATTTCTTCTCTTGGAGGTGATCCATTGATATGAATCCGTTGGATTTTTTCTGATATTCTTCAATATTGTATGGGCAGCTAAGCTTTGTCCTGACCTTGTCCCCATACTTTTAAGACAAGTGCCTCAATTATGGTGTTCCATTGTTGCAAACACCTTAGCTGCCCACCACGTCCGATCCCATGTGCTAAAAGATACCCTTTCCTCTAAAAATATTTAAAAAAGAACCCTTAATTAATATATTGATTAAAATATGTAAATGCCATTAATTATATTTAATTTAATCTCAACTCCAAATTTATAATAAAATATAATTAATATATTGACTAAATTCCAAATTTAAACATGATAAAAGGATCAAAACCATAATTTAGCCTTTAATTATTTGTAATTTGTCAATAATGTCATTTACTTTTATTACCCTAAAATTCCCATCTATAAAGATAACGTTGAATTTTCCCAAGGCATGCATCTGTTCTTTCTTTCTCCTTTAAGAACTCAGCTTATTGAAAAACACAGAGGAATTAAGGTATGGAAACTGAGAAAGATCTCAACCTCGAGGCGACGGAGCTCCGACTAGGCTTACCGGGAACCTCCAACGAGTCAGCTAAGAACACAACTCACCGGAGCAACAAAAGAGCCTTGCCCGAACAACCCATGTCTGCTAATATTGACACAGCTTCTAAGAACTGTGACCAAGAAACTGCTCAGCACACCAAGTAAGCAAATCCTTTTTTCCCCCCGAATCAAAAATGAAAGATTCCACTTTCCTTTTTCTTGTTCATTGATTAATGGATACTGATTATAAACAATATTGCAGGGCACAAGTTGTGGGGTGGCCACCCATCAGATCTTACAGAAAAAACTGCCTGCAACCCAAGAAAAGTGAGGCTGAAATGAGTGGGATTTATGTGAAAGTGAGCATGGATGGGGCTCCTTACCTTAGAAAGATAGATTTGAAGGTGGTCAAAGGATACCCAGAATTGCTCAAGGCCTTGGAAGACATGTTCAAGTTCAAAGCTGGTGAATATTCAGAGAGGGAAGGATATAATGGATCAGAATTTGTGCCTACTTATGAAGACAAAGATGGTGATTGGATGTTGGTTGGAGATGTCCCCTGGGAGTAAGTTTTTTCTCTTCCTTTCTTATTTGTCTTGATATTATGATTCGAATGATGAAATTTCGATTAATTATATGTATCATGTGCCTTAAGAAAAATTTATTTGGGATGCAGGATGTTCACCAGTTGTTGCAAAAAGCTGAGGATCATGAAAGGATCAGAAGCAAGAGGGTTGGGTTGTGTTGTATGAAAACATGAAGACAAAATCTCATGAAGAAAGATCAAACCCTTTTAACTTGGGATATCCAAAGAAGAAACTTGGATCCATAACTTTTTTTTTTATTCTTTGTTGATTTAGCAACAAAGAAGATTGATCCTTGGATTTTTTTTTTCTGTGGCATAACTAGAGAAAGGAAGAAGAAAAAACATATTTTCATGTATAGTTTGTCATGTTTTGTTTATTTCCTTATGGAATCTGTACAAAAGGAAAACATATGTTCATAACATCGTTTTCCTTTTAGTTTTTCATGTAAATTGTGAATCAAATCCCCCTTTTCATGTATTTCTTCTTTCCTTGCCGTTTGAATTTGATTTTCTTCTCAGCTACACAATTTATACGAGCAACTCAACAGTCGACACTTTCTCAGGTTTAGAGATGAATATCCGATTCAGTTGAATAAAGTAAAATAATTTTGGCCCTGAACCACTTGAGATATGTTTCTAAAACATTACCAGAAACAAGTGTATTGAAAGATTGTCTAACCATTTAATTAAACAATCACCAACATAACCACTCTACATTCAAAATTATTTGTTTGATGTTCATCGGTACAACAGACAGAACCGAGTAACCGAGTTCAGAAATCGTATCAACTAAAAGATGGTTTTGTGAACTCATACATTCTCCTTAGAGCTAGAGACCTAAAGATCCGGTTTCTTCTCTTCACCAACGGCTGTGGAATTCTCCTCGGATTGCTCTGTTAGAGACTCAGGTTCCTTTTTCAGCTCGGTCTCAAACTCCTTTGCAGCCTGCAAAATTTACATACTATTGGGTTTAGCCTTATCGTCGATGTAGTGTGCAAGCAAGGCTATATCGATGTGGAAATATTGAAACGTCTTGGCAACATGGAAGAAGAACAGATCTTTCAGTAATTGCCAAGGCAGCATTGTACGATCTAACTTGAACCTGACCTATGCTACTCCGACTCTCCATTTTTTTCTACAAGTACCCATGCCCGATACCCCTTATCCAACACAAATCTGAGCATGGCTATGAGAATATAACCCTCCAATGGCTCATCGAATTCACGAAACAACCAAGTCCAAGTAACATAAAAAATGGAAAAATGCCTGATGGAGAGTGAACTGTACTTTCCAGACTGCAAAATGTTTTCCATGAATCATAATGCCCGGGTCGAGCCAAACAAGAACATCATTGGAAATTCAATCTAAAAGGAGACATTAGAACACTCAGCTTTAGTCACCAAAATGTTTTCCATGAATCATAATGATCGAGTCGAGCCAAACAAAAACATCATTGGAAATTCAATCTAAAGGGAAATAAATCCCAGGACATCAAGACAAACAACCAATCTATAACACAAATCACTTACTGGACACGTAAATGGAATTCTTTTTCAACGAGCAAACAAAAAAGGACCTTCTTGAAAACAGGATGAAAGTAGAGCAATACACAAACACATATATGTATATTATCTTTAGCTATTGGAATGCGGAAAGACAGGCATGAAGAAGTTTAAGAATGGGCCCAATCCTATCAAAAGAACATAGTTCATTACAAGAATAGGAAGTTCACTAACGGGAACCACCAAGTAATAACCCGTCCCCAGAAAACCACACAATGTAAGTTTGAAATAAAGTCATGATTTTACCTTAAACATGAAATCCCTAAGAAAACAGAGCTGTCTTACACTTGGATTTCCTAATATTTTTTTTAGACAGAAAACAAGAAAGAAGGTACATACTTTTTTTGTCTTAGTTCCATTGGTATTATACTTTGCTTTAGTAGAACAAATGTATTTTAGTGTTATTGTTTATTTCATTCTCCCTATGCTATTCATACGTGTTTGAAATAAAGACTTCGCAAACAACAAGCAACCCGACTGTGCTACGAATATCTGCTAGCAACTTGAACACTTCTGGTAGAACTAGCAACCCTACTTATTCAGATTAAGTTCCACAAAGACAAGGAGTGCACCATGAATGGCACAGTAAAAAAGGTATAATACTTAAGTTACTCAAAACTCAAGAATCATTATTATTGATCTATAGATGAAATTTCAGTAATGATTCGAAAGAAACCAAGCTTGTAGAGCTCTACCTTTAGTTATGAACTTATGATTCAAGAAATGTCAATACTCAAATGCAAAAAGAACATGGGACGTTCAAGAAACAATCAAATTAAATTTATCATTTCCTAGCTCAATCATCTCTCAACTTTGAATCTCAATCAATACACCCCATCTACTTATTAAGATTCGAATGATGAAGTTTCGATTAATTATATGTATCATGTGCCTTAAGAAAAATTTATTTGGGATGCAGGATGTTCACCAGTTGTTGCAAAAAGCTGAGGATCATGAAAGGATTAGAAGCAAGAAGGTTGGGTTGGGTTGTATGAAAACATGAAGACAAAAACTCATGAAGAGAGATCAAACCCTTTTAACTTAGGATATCCAAAGAAGAAACTTGGATCCATAACTTTTTTTTTATTCTTTGTTGATTTAGCAACAAAGAAGATTGATCCTTGGATTTTTTTTCTTCTGTGGCATAACCAGAGAAAGGAAGAAGAAAAACATATTTTCATGTATAGTTTGTCATGTTTTTGTTTATTTCCTTATGGAATCTGTACAAAAGGAAAACATATGTTCATAACATCGTTTTCCTTTTTGTTTTTCATGTAAATTGTGAATCAAATCCCCCTTTTCATGTAATTCTTCTTTCCTTGCCGTTTGAATTTGATTTTCTTCTCAGCTACACAATTTATATGAGCAACTCAACAGTCAACACTTTCTCAGGTTTAGAGATGAAAATCCGATCGAGTTGAATCAAGTAAAATAAATTTGGCCCTGAACCACTTGAGATATGTTTCTAAAAATTACCGGAAACAAGTGTATTGAAAGATTGTCTAGCCATTTAATTAAACAATCACCAACATAACCACTCTACATTCAAAATTATTTGTTTGATGTTCATTGGTACAACAGACAGAACCGAGTTCAGAAATCGTATCAACTAAAAGATGGTTTTGTGAACTCATACATTCTCCTTAGAGCTAGAGACCTCAAGATCCGGTTTTTTCTCTTCACCAACGGCTGTGGAATTCTCCTCTGATTGCTCTGTTAGAGACTCAGGTTCCTTTTTCAGCTCGGTCTCAAACTCCTTTGCAGCCTGCAAAATTTACATGCTATTGGGTTTAGCCTTATCGTCGATGTAGTGTGCAAGCAAGGCTATATCGATGTGGAAATATTGAAACGTCTTGGCAACATGGAAGAAGAACAGATCTTTCAGTAATTGCCAAGGCATCTTTGTACGAACTAACTTGAACCTGACCTATACTACTCCGACTCTCCATTTTTTTTCCACAAGTACCCATGCCCGATACCCCTTATCCAACACAACTCTGAGCATGGCTATGAAAATATAACCATCCAATGGCTCATCGAATACACGAAAAAACTTTGAGAAATTGAGCATACTTGTGTTAGACACAAGCTCGTATCTAACACTCACAACCAAGTCCGAGTAACATAAAAAGTGGAATAATGCCTGATAGAGAGTGAACTGTTCTTTCCAGACTGCAAAATGTTTTCCATGAATCATAATGCCCGGGTCGAGCCAAACAAGAACATCATTGGAAATTCAATCTAAAAGGAGACATTAGAACACTCAGCTTTAGTCACCAAAATGTTTTCCATGAATCATAATGATCAAGTCGAGCCAAACAAAAACATCATTGGAAATTCAATCTAAAGGGAAATAAATCCCAGGACATCAAGACAAACAACCAATCTTATAACACAAATCACTTACTGGACACGTAAATGGAATTCTTTTTCGACGAGCAAACAAAAAAGGACCTCCTTGAAAACAGGATGAAAGTAAAGCAATACACAAACACATATATGTATAATATCTTTAGCTATTGGAATGCGGATAGACAGGCATGAAGAAGTTTGAGATAGTTCATTACAAGAATAGGATGTTCACTAACGGGAACCACCAAGTAATAACCCGTCCCCAGAAAACCACACAATGTAAGTTTGAAATAAAGTCATGATTTTACCTTAAACATGAAATCCCTAAGAAAACAGAGCTGTCTTACACTTGGATTTCCTAATATTTTTTTTAGACGGAAAACAAGAAAGAAGGTACATACTTTTTTTGTCTTAGTTCCATTGGTATTATACTTTGCTTTATTAGAACAAATGTATTTTAGTGTTATTGTTTATTTCATTCTCGCTATGTGATTCATACGTGTTTGAAATAAAGACTTCGCAAACAACAAGCAACCCGACTGTGCTACGAACATCTGCTAGCAACTTGAACACTTCTGGTAGAACTAGCAACCCTACTTATTCAGATTAAGTTCCACAAAGACAAGGAGTGCACCATGAATGGCACAGTCAAAAAGGTATAATACTTAAGTTACTCAAAACTCAAGAATCATTATTATTGATCTATAGATGAAATTTCAGTAATGATTCGAAAGAAACCAAGCTTGTAGAGCTCTACCTTTAGTTATGAACTTATGATTCAAGAAATGTCAATACTCAAATGCAAAAAGAACATGGGACGTTCAAGAAACAATCAAATTAAATTTATCATTTCCCAGCTCAATCATCTCTCAAATTTGAATCTCAATCAATACACCCCATCTAAATGTTCTAATTGCTCGCCTAATTAAACAGCAGTAAAAAAAATTCACTCACTTCTCATTTTCCCCTAAAAGTTTCTCAATGAGAACACCAAAGCTTCCATTTTTACAACAACACAATAACAAAAGAACCATTTTTGAACAGCGGGAAAAAGGATTCGAATTGTTGGTCATTTAACATATTAAGCAAAACCCAGGTAAGGGAATCGACAAACCTGCTGAAAACTCTTGACAGTTTTCCCAATAGTCTTCCCAACTTCAGGCAATTTTTTTGGTCCAAACACAAGAGCCGCCACACCAGCAATAACGACAAGTTCTGGCACACCAAGACCAAACAAAGCATTACAAGTAAGGCCCTTTTTAGCAGGCTCGGCTGTTGTCCTCCATCTTGGTCGACCGGCAACAAAGGAAACAGATTTGTTCTGGGATTTCGCTCTGCTCAACAAAGAAATGGTGTTACTGCTGCAGATAAAATTGGATTGGGAAGAAGAGAGAAAAAGTGAAGCTGCTGCTGCTGCTGCTGGGGGTCTTGAAAGTGAAAGAGTAATAGAAGAAATCTCCATGATATTCCCAGTCAAGGTCTTTGAATTCTAAGAACTTTGATATGTTTTCGAGAATTTAAAGAGTTTTGTGCGAGTGTGAAGTTGAGGCTTTTAGCAAGGAAAATATCAAAGAGGAAAAGATAACTGGGAGCGTATGGTTGGGAACTAATTAGGGATATTTCATCGTTTTATATTCCTTGTAATTTGGCTGGTGAAAACAGTAACTCGTGGAGTCTATATGCTTATGGCGTTGATGAATAAGTGATTAAATTTTTAGTCTTAATATAAAAATCAATATTTAAATTATATATTTTTTTATTTAGATATCTAAATTATTTTTCGTTTAATTCAGATTTCCGACGTTATAGACGTTGTTATTTTAAATATTTCGATTGTAACAAATTTTAAAAAATTCAGTTAAATAACACATATAATATTATGATAATTTTAAAAAATATGTATATTTTAAAAAGATTAAAAATAAACTATTATATTAAAAATATTTTAAAACACTTATTTTTATATTAACTCGTTACCATTATCAATTCTGAAAATATATATTTTGATAACTCAATATTGATGATTTATTAAATTTTAGTTGTTTATGTTGCTAACTTTTATACTTTTTATCATTGAGTTGTTAATTTTAATTAACATAATATATTAATAAAAATAATTGTTTTTTTTAATTCAAAACTTAAATTTTAAATAAAATATTAATTTAATTCATAAAATTTAAAATTAAATATTAATTTAATCGTTAAATACAATTAAAATTTTTCTTTATCTACGTCACATCACATCATGATATGTCAAATATTATTTATATACGAATAATTAAAAGAATCGAGGGACATCCATATTTGATTTGATCCAATCGGATTTGATTTTTTAAAAAAGAAATCAAGTTCAAGTTAAGAATGGTCGGTTTCGATTTTATGGTGAAAAATTTAATTTGATTAGACTCGAAAAATAATATAAAAATACTTTATATATTTAGGGATAATTGCAAGAATATCTTTCTTTATATTATTATTTTTAATTAAGTCTCTATTTATTTAATAAAATTAATAATTTTATATTATTTCGAGTCGGATCGGCCGAAAATCTGACCCATGCCCACCCCTAATCCACATGACATAGTGTCGTAGTGGATTGTTTCTCATATTTCTTAGAGAAAAGTCTATTTAGTTGTTATGAGCATGAATTTCATATAGATTTCATGTCTGTGGGCTGATTTATATACATTGTAAATCTATACAATGTTGTCTCATACAAACTCATATAAAAAATAAAGAATATTTAGCCCAAATTTAATACAAAATCCAACTTAAATTTCTTATCCAGCCCGTGAAGGGTTTGCTGGTGGGCTTGAGGGTCCAAGTCCTCTTTGAAACGCGCCTTATGTGAATTTATAAAATTATATGAGATGATAAATTTATAAAAATTTAGGGTTTTATTTACAATTTTACCAAGTTTTGGGAGGTCATTGCTCCTTCGGCCTTTGTTAGGGATGGGCATGAGATCTGAATCCGATGGGTTCTGATTCGATCAGGTTAATTTTTTTAAAAAAAAATGGGTTCATGTCGGGTTTTTTTAAAAGGTGGTGTTCGCGTAGGGTCGAATTCGGATTTAGGATGAAAAATATCAAACCTGACCCGACCCGGAAAAAATAATTCTACCGTCTCCCCACGTTTCTTTGGAATGGAGATATGACGGAGCCTTTCACTCATACCCGGGGAATTCGACAAGATGATCCCTTGTCACCATATCTTTTTGTGTTATGCATGGAATGTCCTACACATTCTATACGTTCAGCTACTGTTAAGGGGCAATGAAATCCACTTATTTTTGGCTGATGACTAGATCTTGTTTGTCGAAGCTTCGCTGTACCAGCTACAAACCATAAAATTGGTTCTAGGAGAATTTTGTCGAGCCTCTGGGCATAAGGTGTGTGCTGCCAAAACAACGATGTTTTTTTCTAAAATTTTTATCGCGCTACCCGATCGTTGATTAGTGAAAGCTTTGGTTTTGAGGAAGTCGAGGATCTTGGTAATTACCTTGGGGTGCATGTGCTTCGCCGTCGAGTTAGTGTGACCTCCTATCAGTACCTTGTTCAGATGGTAAACAAAAACTTAATATGTGGATGGCGAAATGTCTTCTGTTTACGGGCAGAATCTTATTGGCTAAATCAATTCTAGATGTGATTCCATCAGTTTTACCTGCGATTCCCATGTACATAATGCAAATTGCGGTGTTACCTAACATGTAAATTTATAGAGCGGTTGATTCGTCGATTCATGTGGGGGCATTACGTCGTCACGTGGCGGGGTTCATTTGGTTAAATGGGATGATGTTTGTAAACCCACATCGATTGGAGGATTGAGATTTCATAAAATGGATATCCTCAATGAGGTTTTTCTTATGAAAATTGTGTTCCATATTATTGTACGTAGAGAAGACCTTTGGGTTCGTTTTATACGTGCAAAATATTGGTGCAGTGAGGGGGTGTCACTGTTTTTGCGCAATTCTAATTGCTCTCGTTTGTGGAAAGGTCTGAATACTATATGGAGTGTTGTGCGTTCCAGTCTTTTCTGGTTTACTGGGTATGGCAACGAGATTGATTTTTGGTATGACACTTGGATCGATGATATTGGTCCGCTAATTGAGTATGTCCATCCGAACCTCAAGGCGAATATTGCAAATACCTCTATAGCGTCCATGGCCAAAAATGTAGGGGAGTGGCACAGAGAGTTCTTTGAACATCTTCTCCCTCCCCATATCTTACTTAGAATTGTTGCGATCAAGGGTTCGGACCTAAGAATAACCATGGACTCAATTGGTTGGCGGGGAAATCGGGGACAGTCCTTCACGTTGAAATCGACCTATTTACTTCGGTCTGATGCAAGGACAGGCTCGCCGAATCAATTTGGAATATCATCCCAAAGTTCTGGCGCTTATCGAAAGTTAAAGGAACTTCACAACGGACTACTGGTGTCAGGTTTATGGTGCTCCTATTGAAGATATTGACCACGTCTTTAACTGCTGTCCACCAGCGATACAAACTTGGGCTGCTCTGGTGTAGCCTGCAAAGTTGATTTCGTTCTTACAGATGGATCTGCATGACTGGATATGAGCAAACTTGTCTGGTTGCATTAGTCTTGGTCGCGATAATGAACAGTGAGATCTTGTTTTTGGTTATGTTTTTTGAAATTCATGGCTTGATCGGAATGCTTGTACCTGTAATAGTCCGACGGCAGGCCACAGTGATCGATCGCAGTAAGCGTTTGATCGAGCTAACTTTTCGTGCTCAGTCTAAAATCCATGTGAACAACATAGATGTTAGCGGTGTGAACATTGATCCAGTTCGTTAGAACCTCCGGCCCCCACAGTGAGTTAAACTCAAAACTAATGGGTCGAGATGTGATGATAATGGTTACGTCAAATGTGGTGGCATAGCTCGGGACGATCTTGGTAAGTGGCAGTTTGCTTTTGCGAGATTCATTGGTACTTGTTCGGTCCTGGATGTCGAACTTTGAGGGGCGTACTCTGGCATTCTCTACACTTGGGAAGCTGGTTTCCGATAGGTTGTTCTTGAGTTAACTAGTATGAAGGCGATTAGGGTTTCGAAGGATGACTATAACGACATTCATTTTCTTAAATGACATTTAGACGAGCTTCGTCGACGTGACTGGATGGTGCTCGTCCAACACATTCATCGAGAGGGGAACAAAGTAGCCGATGCCTTAGCTAAAAGTGTTGGAGTAGATAGTATGGATCTTAATTTTCATGTAGTTCCACATGGGTGGATTCATTTGTTGTTACTGGAGGACGATGTTCTCAGATAGTTTTTGGCTTTTTTTTTAATATATTATGGATACTATGTTACTCCATCTAAGTGTATAGATGTTTTTAACGGGGCTCGTAATAATATTTTTGTGTGTAAGATTGTTTTTGAATAAAATTATACATTTTCATCTAAAAATAGATTTTCAATCGAAAATATAAAAAATACATCTCAAATATAATCTAAAAATTTTAGGAGGAGTGATTTCCCTTAACCGCTCATCTTTTCTTCCAACTAAGTGTACGGAGGATTTTAACGAGACCCGTATTAATATTCTTGTGTGTATGATTATTTTTGAATGAAATCATGTATTTTCATCTAATATAATAGATTTTCAATCTAAAATATAAAAAATACATCTCAAATATAATCTAAAAGTTTTAGGGGGAGTGATTACCTTTACCGGCTCCTCTTTCGGTCTATATATATATATGAACAATTTCAAAAAATTTAATATTAATTATATATTAAAATTTATTTAATAATTATAATTTTATATAATTTTATTCAATAAAAATGAATCATATCGATATAGATACAGAAGTATAATTACATGAAAATACTGCAATTAATGAAATTCAGTTATTTCAGAAGTAAGAAAAGTTAGATTAAGGCAAAAAAAAAAACTCATAATTATTTCAAATATATCATTTTGGGGGGATAAAAAACACTTTTATTAACATCTTAACTAGAAAATTTAACATAATTAAAAATAAAATTTTATTATTTATGGGAGACCAAAGCACCTCCAAATCTCCAATGCCGCCCCTCTTTCTCCGCCCTTATAGGTAAATCAGAAAATAATAAATGTCCAAATAATTATAATTATAATTATAATAAAATTAACATAAAACACTCATATTAAAAAAATATATATATATATCCAAATTTTAGTCAAATTATTCCTAAAAAAACATTTAGTCGAAATATATTTAAATATACCTAGAAAGTCAAGTCCAAGTTAAAATTCAAGGAAATAGTTAAATAATATTTAAATAAAAAAAATAAGAATCAAACTTTAATTTAAACAATATTTTTTAAACTATAGAGTATTTAAATTTAGATTAAACCAAAACATTTGGGTCATGATCCCTCCCGCTGGTCGCTATATATTTAATTGATTAATCCGTCAATGTACATAAACGAATCGATGAACCGGCTCTTTTAATATCAAATAAATTCAAGGGTAAAGTACGCAAATGGTTCTCAAACTATCGGATAATATTTTATTGAGTTTATTAATTATTAAAAGTTATAAAATGATCTTTTAATTATAGTGATTTGTTTTGTTGAGTCATTAAACTATTAAAAGTTATAAAATGGTCACTCGAACATTCATTATGTTACAAACTCATCCTTATCATGTTGATATTCCATTTTTTAAACCCTCATATTGAATTGGAATATACGGTTTGCATTCATAGACAATTTTCTCACATCGTCCGACTCTAGTTTATGATTTCGATGGTCTTAAATAGTTTGATATGCTTTTGTGGCTCATCTATCGATACTGTCAATTTTATTTGTATCTATCTTTTGTTCAAATTTTTTATTGAATTTATTTAATATTTTTTCTTCTATTATTCGTCTATCACAATAAATGATTAAATTTTCGTATTAATGATTATAAAAAGCATTATAATTATATATTTACTTTATAATATGATTATAATTTTATTTTATTTTAAATTTTAATAAAATTAATTGCTTTCTATGGAAAAAAAAGGAAAGAAAAAGTCAACTGTAGTTTTTTTTCTACATTGAATGCTGAAATATATTTCATAAAAGACAATTTAGTCTCTCTGGTCCCTAGTTTAGAAAAATCCCTAGAAAATTACAATATTAATTTTAAAACAGACATGATAAATTTAATATATATATATATATATATATAATATTATTATTATTAACATATATGATCAAAAATTCTTTATGAATTCAATTTTCATTTTTTAATATTAAATAAATATATAACAATTTTTAAATCTCAGTCGTACAAATAATTATCAAGTCGCTGTCAAGTGGGCAGCTTCAAGGGGAAAGTCCTGGAGAAAAAAACTCGTGGAAAGTGGAAATGGAATTCATTCAACCCAGGAAATCAACAAACAAGAAATGGGCATTGGAACTAAAAACTCAACTTACCAGAAAATTCATTTATTACAACTTATTGACATCATCACCTTTGCTTTTCTAACTATAAAATGCTTTGTTTTTGTTCATCTAACTTGAACAAGGAAAGCTTTTGGAGTTGAGACTGCTGTCCAAGCACTCATCTTCAGTTTTCCTTTTCATATTTTGCTGCATACTTTGCTTTCCCTCAGATTAAAATTCAGAAAACATGGGAGAAATCATGTCTGAACAACTAGTTTCTGAGTTTCGAGAAGCCTTCTGTCTCTTCGACAAAGATGGAGATGGTAAATTTTCTTCCCTTTATCATAAATTATAATTTTATGATTCGATAACTATGTTGGAATTACTTGTTTTACAGGCTGCATAACGATGGAAGAACTAGCCATTGCAATCAAGTCGTTGGATCAGAATCCAACGGAAGAAGAGCTCCAGAACATGATCGATGAAGTTGATACTAATGGCAATGGAACTATTGAATTAGGAGAATTCTTGAATCTCATGGAAAGAAAAATGAAGGTGATTGATTAATCTATATCTCCAGGGTTACAAGACCTGTCACTGCCTCGTAAAAGGGTTTTTTGTCGTCGGAAAAACAAATATTTCCGACGATTTTTTCAACAAAGAAATATAATAAGGATTTTTTTTGACAATAGGAAACTGAAGCAGATGATGAACTGAGAGAAGCTTTCAGGGTATTTGACAAAGATCAAGATGGCTACATATCACCCCATGAGGTTGGTTAATTCTTGTGTGTGTGTGTGTCGTGTTTTCTTTTCCTGTATTACTCATGGTTATCATACTGGTTTCTTATTATTATTTAATATTATGTGGGAAATTAATTGATACTGGTTTCTATTATTATTTTATTATGTCGGAAATTAATTGATTCGGATCGAGTAATGTAATCGCAGTTGAGGCTGGTGATGATCAATATAGGGGAGAAACTAACAGATGAAGAACTAGAGCAGATGATCAGAGAAGCTGATTTGGATGGAGATGGTCAAGTTAATTATGAAGAATTCGTCAGAATGATGTTGGCAGCCGCTTGATATTCAAGTTTACTTTTATTCACCAAATAACTTATTGTAATGGATACATAAACTATATGTTATCCTTAAACTCTGATTAAGAGTATATACTTAATGATTGATAGGGAGGCTAATCAGGGAATATATGTCATGTGATAATTTTGATATTATTATAGAACAATAATATATATTTGTTTTGAGTCATAATTCTAGAATTTTATGACAAAAAGGAACATTTTCTTCATAGTCATGATTAATATGAATTTAGCTATAGTTTATTTTCAGTCATCCATATGACTTCATTCAATTCTAAAACATGAAGGTGTTTATATGAATTTGGATGTCAAAAGCTGATGCTGTCACATAAATATAACATTTCTCTTCAGAATTCAGGTGTTGTATTTTTCTCAGCAAAGTAACTCAGTCCAAAACTAGATGAAGAAATGGAAACCAATGTTTATAGTATCCTAGGCCATTAGGGTTCAATCCATGTTCCTGCTCTTCCTTCAGAGCCTTTCAGGGTTAATGATTATGATCCTCGATCTTCTTCAACCCCTTCATGTCCGTCGTTTCCACCCTGCATTCAAAACATGTAGGCGTATAATGAGAAGAAATGCAAATGCCATATAAGGGGAAAATAGTTCATTGCACTTTTCTTTTGTTCTGATCCCTAAGCCGATGATGAATTATTATCAGGGAAACCGGCACATACGAGGTACATATTTTAATGCCCAAGTTAGAGACCGTCATTCATGAAATCACTAAAGCAATGAAGCAAACAAATCCTTTGGGAGGATAGGTATCCTTGATTCTTAGTGGTCATTGCTGCATATGGACCAAAAAGAAAACAGCGAAGCTAGTTGCTAACATGCAAAAAGGACAGCATATGCTTATAACAAATTACACCGTGCTCAGCTCGGTTTTGCTTTGCTAGTTTTAGGTAATGTCAGAAAGGCTCTGGATTCAAGTAGTTCTCAAATTTGGAAAAGTCGGATGAGTAATAACCGTCTTTACTAGTAATAAGCAACGCAAATGGCGAAAACATAAATTCATGGCCCAAACAAGTAAATATTAAATAATAAACATGTCTCCTGTATGGTATTGGTGGTAAGAAGGAAGTAAGAAATTATAAACCGATGATTTTAGTAAATGATATAAAACAATGCAGAGAAGTAGGAACTATAATTATTAAAAACATACGTTGATCCATATAAAGCAATCTTCTGAACCTTTGTGATCTCTGAACCCGACTGATTGTCTTCAATAAATATTGTCAAACTGGAAAAGAAAAGCAATATTAACAACAATTTACTTAATGTTATGATAAAGACCAAATAGACCACTTCACGTGCTCAAAATATAGACGTACCTACGGACATTCTGAAACTTGACATACTTCAAGACCAATGGTTTCCCCTGAAAAGAGGAAGAGAGAGTGAGCATCATGAGGTTTATCAATTCACGGTGAGTTCATAAAATACCCTTATTTCCTGACAATGGAAAGACAGAAAGAGAAGAGCTACCTTTAGATTATCAGGTGACAAAATAGCAGTGTCACTTGGAGGGAAGTCACTGACGTTACTGCATTATGTAAAGCGGAACATACTCCTCAGTGAAATGCTAAGTGCTTAAAATGGATAAACAATTTGCTAGAATGTAATTATGCCTTTGGTCTTACCTAAACCCCATATGTTCCCTGTTAGTAAAAAGTTTCACCATCTTTGGACCTGAAAATACAATCTGTCTTCAAATACTACAACACTAGACAACATCAAAGGTAATTCTAGGAGTGCATCTTGAAACAGGCATGCTTCAACGGATAAGCCAATAGGACTTTGCTTCAATGTGATTGCATTCAAGATTTATGGAAATGTAAAGATATAAAAAACATTACCATCCTCTTCGGATCCCGTGACGACTATGGAATGTAGTTTAATGACTCGAGTGAAAGGGATATAAATCAGAAGTTGCTCATCGGCATCACTCTCAAGGTTCAATCCTTCATCTTCTCTATAACCCTAACTCATGACCATAAAATTGAATGATTTCATGATAATAAAATTTCACAGAAGCAACAACTTAATTAGCAAAATTCATACATGATATTTACAATATCGAATCAATTAACCATAAAATCAATGTTTAAAAAGAACTTCAACCGAAACCATTAGTATCCCACACAATAAAGTAAGCATATCAGCCTAATTAATTCAATAACAAATGAAAACCAGCCATTCTTAAGAGAAACAAGAATAGGTTGAAGATAGTTACTTGCTTGAGGGCATTTGACAAAGAGTGACTGGAGCTTTGGTTAAGGCATTCAACTCCAGACCAATCAATAAAATCCAAGAGATCAACCTAATTACAAAAAGAGGTTCCCAAATAATCAAGTTAATACAATTTTCCAAGAAGCCTCCTTTCGATTAGCCCCACAAATACACTGATGGCGAAATATTTCAATCATCCAAAGAAATAAAAAAGGAACTTTTCAAGTAAAGAATATCATCGAAAACATATTCATTACTATTTTCCTTGTTTTCCATCCAATTTTTTTTTCAAAATTTCTCAAAAACCAAACAAAAGGGTATCCGTAAAGGAAAGAACTCTGAGGACAGGAATACTCACTTGGTTCCTTTGAATTGCAGTAGCTGATTCAGCAGCCGACATGGTTTACGGGATTGACGAGATTGATGAACCTGAGAACGAATAATCGGAGTGAAAGTTAACGAAGAAAAAAGATCTTAAAACCAAAAAATAATGGCGAGTATTCGGAAAAGACAAAACTGGAAGATGTTTATGAAACGTCGTCGTTTAAAGAGTATTAATATTATTATTATTATTAGTGTTAACTACATGATTCGTTATTTATCTTTATATTTTTGTCTACTTTTAATCACTCATTTCAAAAAACATGGATCATTTTCATTTATATTTAATTTATTTTCATTTTTATTTAATTAAGATGTAGTCACCATGAGTAAATTTTCGATAACGGTTAACATATTAGGTGATGTAGTATTTTGGTATAATCACATATTTGATCTATGTTATTTATATATTTTCTCAATTTAATTTTACTTTTAATAAATTAAAATAAATTTAATCATTCAATTGAATTATATCACGTGCCATTAGTTCCACGTGTCAGTGGTGTCAATTGTTATTGCTGCCACATATCACTATTCACTAACTTTTATTTTAATTTAATATATTTATTTTTCACTGATACTTTGAAAAGTTAGTACTCCTACTGAATGGTGAGATGTGGCATGACATGTGGTATCAGTAACACCTAGTGTGACATGTGACATCATTTGATTGAAGGATTAAATTTATTTTAATTTATTAAAAGTATGACTAAATTGAGAGAATATATAAATAATAGGAACCAAATGTGTGATTTGTCGCGGTCGTCTTTCGGTTAGACCCGAAATTAGGCTTCGACATGAATTAAACGAATTGGAGTCGCCACCGACCACTTTAAAACGAATTTAGGTGGGTCGGATACCATCTTGCCTGATCTGCGTTGTACCAGAAACATGTCGGGTTCAAAAGTCGGTTACGGTCAAGGAAGGATTAGCACCCTTGAACCGCCCTTTCGGTACCAATTAATTTATCGGTTGTCTTTAATTGCAAAAATTAAGAATTAAAATTTAAAATTAAAATTTTGATTCGAATTGCTTACATTTGATTGGTTGGAAATTCTTCTAAAAATGTTAGAAATAAAGAAGAAGAGATATTAAATAAAAGAGAAAAAGAAATTAATATAATAATAATAAATCAAAAGGAGAGAAAAAAATGAATATTAAATAAATTAAAGAGAAAAATAAAAAAAATAAAAAAAAACATAAAATAATAAGTCAAAGGAATAAATAAAAATAGAAAAAAATATAATTAATAAAATAAAAAAATGAATAAAATATAAAATAAAATTTAGTAAAAAGATTAAGAATAGAAAAAATCAAAATCAAAATAAAATAAAATTACTAAAAAATAAAAGAGGTTAAATATTTTGAAAGAAATAAAAAATGTTAAGAAAATTATACATAAAGAAACTGAAAAATAAAAAAATAAAAAAAGGGATCAAAATGTAAAATTTGCAATAACCGTGGTTAAATCAAAAAAAGGAAAAACAAGTAGTGACTCAATTAAAACATGCAAGACATTTCGGGGCCATTTTCGAATGAAGCATAAATTAGAGGCCAAAATAAAAACATATTAAATTTGGATTCCAAATTGCAATGCTGAAAATTAAATTTAGTGACCAACATGAAAAGTGTACAACTTACAGGGACCAGGTAAAGGTTTATCCATGCACGAAATTACGGGAAGATCCCTCCCCAAAACGGCGTAGTTTCGGGGAGGGTATATATTTACCTAAATCGGCCCAGAACCCCTCCCATCTCTCATTTGTTCAAATCGCCCTCTCATTCCTCATATGAGAGAAAAAATTCTCTCTTCTCTCTCCACATGCGATTTTCGGCAACCGCGTCGGTGGTCTCATGCTGCTCCGGCCACCACCGCCGGCGGCCGGGAGGACCCAAAATTTAACCAAACACTCCCCTTTACACCTCAAACCCGATTTCGAAGCCAAAATTACAAAAAAAAATTCCCCAAGAAGTGTAGATCAAACGAAAACCCTTTCGGGTTTTACCTTTCCGGCGACCCCCCGCTTTTCCGGTGGCCTTTTCGATACGAGCTCCAATGATTTTTCTTTGCTCTGCTTTTGCTTTTGTCGGTTTCGAAAGATCTGTTGGTTTTCTTGTGTTTGGATTTTTTGTTCTTCAACTGTATTTGTTGTGTGTTCGTGGCTATATGTTGTTTTTTTGTGGGGTTAATGTTCATCGTGGTTCGATCTTTGCTATTGGTCGATGGTTATTTTGTCTCTGTGATTTCTGTGTGGTTATCTTCGTTTCTGGTGATCGGTGTGGTGGTACCTTGGTATGGTTTTTTTAGTTTACTCGTGGGTTCTGTTGGTTTTTTTGTTTACTCGTGGGTTTTGTGGTTCTCGATCAATGGTCTCTATTTATGGTTGATGGTTCTCTATTGGTATCGTGGTTGTATCTCCGTTGGCCTGTTGTTTCTCGTCTGTTGATACCCCGACGAGGTATTTATAGCCTCCAACCGGGCTGTTTCATATGGCTTCGGGGGCCATTTTACCCATGTTTCCTGATTAAATCGAGAGGGTTGGTTGTGGCTGAAGACCCGGGATGGTGCAGTCCCGGGCTATCCTTATCCGAGCTCCATGAATCTCGGTCGGTGTGATTCTGGCCGTTTGTTACCTTGACTCCACTGATCTACGATGCCTTGACTAAAGTTGAGAAACCCTAATCCAGGATTAGACTGGGTCAAGCCCAAACCCGGTTGGGCCTTCTTTTGGACTCAAATGTTGGACTGTTATGGACATAAAAAAACATAAAAAGAAATGAATGAAAAAGAAAGAAAATAAATAAATAAAATAAAAATATTTCCAAAATATATATATATATATATATATATATAATATTTTTCTAAAATGATTTTTAAACTATATATTATATATATTTTCCAAAATATTTTGAAAACTATATTTTATATGTATCTTCAAAATGTTTTTCAAAAATCATATAGTATATATTTTTAAAATGTTTTTTTTTCAAAATCTATATAATATATATATTCTCAAAATGTTTTTGAAAAAATATATATTACATATATATTTTCAAAATGTTTTAAAAACCATATATTATATGTAAGTTTTCAAAAATATTTAAAAACCATATATTATATAATTTCTGAAATGATTTCAAACTATATAATATACATACTTTAAAAAAATCTTCTTCAAACTACATAATAAAATAAAATTAAAAATAAATGAAAGGAAAAAAATCGGGCGAAAATGAGTGTCTACATGATTATATCACAATATTTAACGTCAGTTAACTGGTGTTGATCACATATTAGTTAAATAAAAATGAAAGTGCAAATATATTATGTTTTTTGAAATCAATAAAACAATTAGACAAAATACAAACATATCAACTATGTATTTAACCCTTGTTATTATTTTGAAGAGGAAGTGTTTTATTCAAAATTAAATACAAAGACTTTTTTTGGTTTTCGATATATTTCTCCATTAAATATAAAGAAAAAAGAAAAATATATAACGTTCGACGAGCACCGTTGAGCATCATTAACGATGAACACTATTAATTTATCTTAAAAAATTAAAATTCTAAAGGATTCAACGTATAATTATAAATTAGTTAAAAACTTAAAGGTAAATTGTTAAAATAAATATGTATTATATTATTTTCCTTCTTTTTGGGTAAACTATAACAGTGACCATCTAACTATTATCCATTTTCATTTTGATCACCATTTTTTAAATTTTTCAATAAGGTTACTAAACTATTTAAATGCATTCGATCAAGCCACTTATTGTTAACAATTAACGAAAGTACTGACGTGACAGTTAATAAAATTTATATAATTACACATTTATCCCTTATTACTTACACAATCTATCAAATTGGTCATATTTTGAAATTAGTTCAATATATTTTATCCTTCAATCTTATAACTTCAAATATTTTATATTGTAATATTAATAAATGATACACATAGAATTATAATTTGATTTCAAGTTAATAAATTATTTTTTGTATTACTTCAATTATGGCCAATGACAGATGTAAGTGTAGTCTATGTTAAGTATATTTGAAATTCGATTTTTTCAGTTAGTTATTCATTTTAGTGATGTGTTCACTCTAAAATCTATTTATGGATCTATCAATGATTTTTGTATTTGTTTTATTTGTCATTTTTGTATGCATGATCAAATTGGATTTCAAACTTACAACTTGGATTTTTTTTCCTGTTATATGTCTTCCTAAATGCACCAAGTTGCTTTCTACTGATAATATTTCATTTCATTATGCTTTCCAGTGTTCGAACATCTTCTTGACAAAAGATCAAGCCATACGTCTTGGTGAGTGATTATCTGGTCATTAGGTAAACATGCTCGAATGCAAACGCGCCTGTCTTTGTCAGTCTCAATAGAATTTCAAGATTTTTATCTCTACATGTGTTTATATGACTTGAAAATGTGATCTCCAGGGTGGTGCATATATGAAATGACTTCTCTCAAGCCTGCATTTAAAGCATTTGTCGGTTCTTCTACCATATCTTACTTTGTAACCATATTACATCTTTTTAGCTTAATCCGTGCTTAAAACTTCTTAGATACGGATTCCTAAAGTATACAGGTTCGATTATTGTACATAGTCTTCACAATTTTTCATGTATGCATGTTGTTTTAGATGGTGAATCGAAAGGTTCGAGTGTTGTATGTATAACTAATGCTTTGATGATAGATGCATTTCTCCGTCAGGGGAAAATCCGTCTAATGTTCAGTAATCATTTTCCGGTTTCATGTTCTGTTTTCCTCTTATAGTAATCTTATATCTGTGGAGCAGGATATGATAGCACTGATAAACAAGATTAATAAGTCAATAGTTGCTCCACTTCCAACAAAATATTCCAGTGCCTTGTAAGCTTCGTGTTCCTTCCGTGCTTGGCTTCTGCCTTGTGAATATCGTTTTCTTGTATGCTGGTTTTAAAATGATGAATTTATGGGTCTAATTATTGCTTGAGTTTCTTTTCAGTCGCGATCTTGTTAAAAGCATGCTGCGCAAAAACCCCGAACTAAGGCCAAGTGTATGTATAACTCTCCTTTGGTTTATGTCTCACAAAATATGCATAGCATCTTTACGAGTCAAC